GATTGGGCCGAAATATATACATGGAAAATGTAAGTGAGAACGTGGTGACCCTGTTTCTATAGTCATAGAGAGCATGTGAAGCAAACTGATTTGATTGAGCAAAAATATATACGTGTATGATAGATACGAGCAAGTGAGAGACAACCAATGTAAAGAAAATGAATCGATTGGGCCAATATATACATGGAAAATGTGAGTGGGAGCGGACATCGTTTATTTATCACTCATACACACTTGACTTATACGGAGAGATAGAGACAACAAAGACTGAACAGAACAAAATAAATCATTTAGATCTAGAAGGACCAGAGATTGTCAGTAAGCTGTAGAAATAGGTGAACGTGAAGATAGTGCGAACCTGTTAGATTCCATAGTATGCTCCATAGCGTTGGACAACATGAACTTCAAACAATTCGATCAAATCTGCTTTGAGAGTTCTACACGGGATGCGTTGGTTTGGCTTGAAGTGCCAGATGATTTGTCAAAGGAGATCTCGAGTGGTCCAGACTGGGTGCCATCCAGGCGAGAGGTAGAGGAGAAGATTTACTGGTAAGGTCCATATCTTGGTCCAGAAGTCATGATCTTCATGGGCGGCTGGAATTGGACGTCGTCTTCGCGGGTACATTTGTGCGTTGAGAAGGGCACGTCGAGCAATTCTTGAGGAACGACGCCGGGGAAGGGGAGCATTCCGTCTTGGTGGTGGAGCTATAACGACTGACTGATCGCGTTGACGACGTGGTGCTTCTATCAAAAGACGTTCTCTGGCGTGATGATTGCCGGCATGATTGTCTATGTCGTGATGTTGTACGTGATCTTCGATGACGAGATTTTCTACAGCAATTGAATTATGTCGGCGACGGTTATTCCTTCTTGGCTGAGTGACACTTTGGGGTCTCGCTGGACGACTTCGGCTAGATCGGCTAGAGTGATTAGTGGTGATAGAAGAGTTTCCTGCAACAGTGATGTTTCCATAGATGTTGATGGTCATGCCGATGTTGAGCTAGTGGGACTAGGATAAATGAGATTGACATAATTCCGGATTAGAAAAAATATAGATCAGAATCGGCAAAGACTCAGATTGAAAGAGATAGAGTTTGGGAGAAGAGGATTGAAATACCGTATTTATTAAGAAGGACCTCAGCACGCTGGATGAAGGAATTGGGATTGGTTGAGATGTTGTCACTTTCAGTGGAGCCTGGATGGAGCAGAGTGAGGATTATTCATGGGTTTTAAATACGAAACACTTACAATCGAGGGCCAGTAGTTGAAGTGAAAAACTTTGGGAACATCGGCAAAAAAGAGCCGATTGTCTTGATGAACGGGGTACAAGGAAACATCAAAAGACACGCTATAGATTAGATGAACGGTTAAGAAACTGCGAAACTTGAATGATTGTTGACTTTGAATTCGATGAATGGAGTCAACCATTGGATGGTGGACAAAAGGGAATTGAAGGGTGGCCTCGGTGTGATCAAGTACGTAGAGAGACAGAGAGAGACGTAGAGTCATATCGTAAGAATTGTACAGTTGTATGCGAACTTCTGCGAAGTACTCAAAGGACACAGTGCGGCATGTCCCTTTTTACATGTACATACGGCGCCTGCCGTTTCTTTCCGTCACCAAACAAAAATCGAGATGGACGACTTTGACATCGTCCCGCCTCAGCGTCAAGGTTTGACGCCACGACCGGGATACAAAATTAACTTGACAGTCAAATGTGACTGTCGGACTTGACAGAGCGGTAGGTTATGTAAAGCACTCAACGGCTTAGGAACGTTGAGCTCAGGAGCAATGCTTGAGTGGATCATGGCTCACTGAGCGACTTGGTACTGCGCTGAATTATTGAGTACGCGCGGAGAAATACTGCACAAATGACGGAGAATTGCTTGAAAAGAAGCTCACCGGGCGCCGGGCGCATTTTTCGCGAACACTGTGTTCAGTGTTGGGTGCCTCGCGATATTTCTGCAATCAGACGTAGCAGCACGATTTCCTCTAGTACGTAAAAGCGAGACACTTCTCCTCTAGCTCCAAATGTAACAGCTCTCCTACCCTAGACGTTCCATCCTATTGTAGCAGCTTCTAGAATCCACTCTCTGAACAAGGATCAAGTCTCATTATCATCAGGTTGGTGACTGAACTTGAAGGTGTTTTGCTCTATAATGCAATGCAATTCATCATCCTATAATCTTTCTGAACAATCAGTGTCAAATTTGAATTTCTGTCTACTCTACTTCTCATCAAATAATAATTCATTTAACAAACAAACATCTCAATGTCTTTAGCGCAGATATTGGTCTTTTCCATCCTTTTGTATCCTTCTGTTGTAAACTGCAGAAGTATTGTAAAACAAGAGTTAAACCGTTGGTGTTCATTTACCTAAAAACTTCAGATGAATGTTCTCAATACTAACCAAATTTTGAAATGACTTTGAAATTCATCAGGTCCCGGAACAGTTGTGGGCAAAGTTCGTTGTTTTTCAGGGGACAAAATGCGTGATTCCTATGCAGTTGATCGCACAACACTTCACCAGGTTCCTCTTCGAGACCTTCGAACTATGGATGAAGTACCAAATTTGGAAACATATGGATTTACTTACGTCACCAAAAGTCCTGTTGTAGGAATTGAAAACTTGATCGAATTCTCTGGTGCCCATCAAGCTGCCTTGAAAGCCAATGCTGTTGAACTTGTGCAAAAGCTGTAAGGTCATCTTTGAAAAATGGTCTCTGGACATGCCTAGAAGGGGCTCATTTAATCTGAAAGTATAGAACAGGGTCGAAGACGGCAATCGCTTTCGGAGGTGGTTATCGAGATTGCAATTCACCAGAATCATCACAATCAATTCGAGTAATCCACTCTGACATGTCTCCAGAAGGGGCTACATGGATCAAGAGCGAAGTGCAAGATCTATTGTTTAATTCAAAGGATCCAAGGGAGGTGGAATTTGGCAGGCACATGACGCAAGGCAAAGACGTCGTTATCTACAATGTTTGGAGGCCTCTCCATACGGTTCAAGACAATCATCTCGGGTTTTGCAGATGGGATTCACTGTTGAAAGAAGATGCTTTGCAATCACACATCAACCCAACAAAGGCTGGAAATGCACTTCAGCCATGGAGGTATAGGGAGGGTCAATCATGGTTTTTCCTGAGTCATCAAGAGCCACACGAGGCTTTTATATTCAAGCAACACGATGATAGGGCAAAAGAAGACGGCCACGGGATTAATGTACCCCATGCTTCCTTCACTCTCAAGGGTTACAAAGGCCCATCTACACGAGTGAGTTTCGAGGTCAAGATCATTGCACGTATTGATCCCCCAATAATCAAAAGAATTTGGTACCAATTGAGGAAATCCGTGCAATCAAGACTTACCAAATTCAACTCAATCAAATCAAGAAATCTCGAAGAAAGAAAGCCTCGCTGAAACTTTGAGTCTACTATATAGGGCTTTTATGAAATCTTGATGCTTTGTAACACCAAACGACTCCTATTTTGGATTGTTTGTCCAAACTGAAATCCTCCTTGAGACATATGTTCTTTAATTTGTCACCTATAGCATAAATACATAATGCAACTGAAACCCAACCTTGCCTTTGATTGTGATCACGACTTGCTAATAAAGAATGGAAATAAAAATTTCACTAAGCAAACAGTTCACTCCAGCATATAGTGAGGCGGGTGATGAGGTCAAGCTTAGGAATGAGGCTGAGTGATTAGATAGTACCTGGGGGAAAACTATCAAAATCTAAATGGGTTAGAAATAGTTATGAATAAATGGTCATAATTGATCTTACATATTTGTTTCTTGCTTCAATCATCCTTGGGTTTGTTCAAGCACACAACTATGTCACCTGTCTTCTTTGCCGTTGGGTACTTCTCGGCATTTCACAAATCAGAGGTAGCAAAATCTCCCCTACAACAGAGATTACTTTGCAAAGGTGAAACACTTCTCCTCTACCCCCGACTGTGTATATCCCTACAAGTTGCATCTGTAGCAGCTTTTATAGTTGTTGATCAAGGACCAAGTCTCATTATTGCCAGGTTTGTGACAGAAGTCAGGGGCGTCTCCTTTTACGATGTTGGATGGAACTCGTCATCCCATAATTACGATTGGCGTGAAATCCCAATTTCATCCTGCTCTGTCTCATTTCATCCAATAAAAATCTCTGCAACAAAGGATATATCTCCATGCCTTCATCTTTTTCCCAGAAATTGGCCTTCTTCATTCTCTTTTACCTCCCTGCCATATGTGGAAGTATCTCAAAACGAGAGTTAAGAGGTTCGTGGTTACCTACCTGGACAGCAGTCATCGTTCTCACTACTAACTCAACTTTTAATCGACTTTGATATTCATCAGCTCCTGGAACGGTTGTGGGAAAGGTTGGCTCTTATCTAGGGGCCAGAACGGGCTATTCCTATCCAGTTGGCAATACCATCCACCACGTCCCTCTTCGAGACCTTCGTTCTATGGAAGTACCGGATTTGGAAACCTATGGATTTACCTATGTTTCCAACAAGCCTGTTGAAGGACTTGAAAACTTTGCGGAATTCTCTCATGAGCACAAAGCTACCTTAGAAGCCGATTCCGCTAAGCTTGTGCAAGAGTTGTAAGTAAATCTTTTAAAAAAGATGTCTATGGAAACACCTCAAAGAGGCTCATTGATTTTGACACTTAGGACAAGAGCAAATAGAGCATTCGCCTTTGGAGGTGGCTATCGAGATCACACTTCACCAGGATCAACAAGACCAGTTTCTAGAATTCACTCTGACATGTCACTAGAAGGCGCCCAATGGTGGAAAACATTAGCACACACCCTACTGTCGGGCTCAAGGGATCCAAAAAAAGTTGACTTCGCAAAGTCTATCTTGGATGGCGAAAATGTCGTTATCTACAATGTTTGGAGGCCTCTTGATACGGTTCGAGATAATCATCTTGGTTTTTGCAGCTGGGATTCACTTTTGGAAGAGGATGCTTTGCAATCATACCCCAACCCAAGTAATGCTGGAGATGCACTGCAGCCATGGAGGTATAGAGAGGGTCAACAATGGTTTTTCCTAAGCAAACAAAAATCCCACGAAGCCTTTATATTCAAGCAACATGACGATGGGGCACGAGATAAGCATGGTGTTAATGTGCCCCATGCTTCCTTCAACCTCGAAGGTGATCAAGGACCCCCTACACGAAAGAGTTTCGAGGTCAAAGTCATTGCCATTATTGATCCACCACCAATTACAAAAAGCCCTTCACGGTTGAGGAAACACATCAAATCATTTTCTACCCAATTCAACCGGATGACATCAAGAAATATCGACGAAAGAAACCCTCGCTAAAAAATTGCTATAGACAGTTATATTGGATCTCAATGGCCTGAAACACTGTGCACCACCTGCTAATCTTTGACCGATTCTCGGACGTATAATTCTCTTTCATTTATTCTTTCATTTGTCAACCAAATATGCATTTATAACATGGAATACAATCATAATTGCAATTTACAACAGTGATTTAATAGTCTTGGTCAAAAACCCACCAATCCCTCCTGTAATACGAATGGACTGATGTCAAGACCAGCGGCTTTTTCTCGCCTTTCCTAATTGAGATCGGTGCCCTCGTCACATCCTCGTTGTATAAAATTGAGTGAGGGTTGAAAAACAAGCGGCCAAGTCAAGAAGTGGAAATGAAAAGATGCAAGTGAGATAAGCTCTCATACTAACTGCAAGGTGATGAGAGCGGAAGAAATGTATGTAGGCAAGAAGATGTTCGAGTTTTAAAAGAAAACGGATTTGAGGACATTAGTCAAACCAATTTCATCTTGTATGTAGGCTCCAACCTAGGATAAAGAAGTAAACAAGAGAAGAAAGTAGAAAACACAGGATCGTTGAAAACAGATGGTGATGACGTATGCTGAATTTTTATATCATTCCTTTTGAGGCAAGCAAAATAAACAAATCCATAATCCTGTGCAACCTTGAACAATCATTAAAAACCTGTGCCTCGTCACATGACATCTTTGAAGCTGAGCCCACTTTTTGGCACCTAGTGACTCGTACACTAAGCTTAACTAAGCCCCTCTTGCGCGCTTCCACTATGTGTATTATGTATGATGACAAGCGCTTCATTCCTCGGTTAATCACTCCGGCGCTCAGCATCTTTCTCTTTGGATCTTTCCGAACCCTCCAGATCCCATATTAGTTCAACTCATGAACTTGTAGCGAGGTTTTGAATCCTTTGAAGATACTCGTGCGTGATATTCATATTCTTCTGCGCATTAGAAAGCCCATTTAAGATTAACGAAAAGTATGACTCAAAACTTTATATGAAAACTTGTTACATATATTCCATTGATTTCAACTTTTGATAAAGCGTCTCAACAACGTTTTTTCCGAACATCGATGGATTACACAGCCCTTACAAAAGTTCATCTCACGTAGTTTTTCAAGCCTCTTGCCAATTCAATTAAAATCCTCTACGAAACCTACCCATTCCTATTCTCCGCACTCGGAGTGACGACGGTGGTACCTAAACTATGACGGCATGGTGGATTTTTGGCGCGTGCATGATGAGCTGTACGGCTTTTGTTATACATATCCAATCTTGCTATCATAGTGACCTCATGATATGATGACTTTTTCCATTTGCTCGCAGAAGTGGCAAGAGTTGAGGACATACGTTGGAAACAGTATGGACACACATCGATGAACTTGCGTCCGATCTTCCTGACGGTTCCGCGATGCTCTATCGATTCCTTTCACTATATATATGACCTTAATTTCACGTTGGATGATATCCCTACCTATCTCAGGAATCTCTTTCTTATCGCAAACCAATTCCCTCGCCTAGCTCATTCTGCTCCTAGATCTCTAGGTCTTCTTGTTCCAGCTTGTCATTTCTCTTTATCACAGACAACTATTTTATCAAAGCATAATGTCTAACAAAACTCTCATCACTTTGGACAATGGTGTTCAAATGCCCCAAGTTGGGCTAGGCACTTGGAGATCCAAGCCTAATGAAGTTCGGGATGCAGTTGCGCATGCCTTGAAACATGGTTATCGACATCTTGATTTGGCAAAGATCTACCAAAACCGTACGTGATGTTTTTTTATCATCACTTTTGTTTCAATCTTTGGGGGAAATTATATAGGATGAGGATTGGCATGAACCTCACGTGCAATGTTACACACTGGTACAGAGGATGAGGTAGCTGCAGGTATCAAATTATCAGGTATTCCGAGGAGCGAAATCTTCATCACTGGAAAGCTATGGAACACATACCACAAACCTGACATGGTTCTTCAGGGTCTCGAGGACACCTTACGTGAACTTGAGACCGATTATTTGGATCTTGTAGGCAGCTTTTTTCTTAGTCGCTCTCTTCTATGCTGGATTCTATTCGAGACTGACACATTTACATGGCTTCTAGTTTTTGATTCAGTGGGTCTTATAGTCCAGTTTGTGGTGTATAGCTCTGATCTGATAGTCTTGCGTTCACTGCAGTTGGCCGCTTGCTTTTGAGCCCGTGGTCAAATCTGATGGCACACTCGATATGTCAGTCTTGAAGCCAATGGTGGATGACACCATATGTGTTGACCTCAAAACCTCTTTGGCCGACACATGGAGAGCCATGATCCAATTGAAGGAGACAGGAAAAGTCCGTGGTGAGTAACAGTGATTCCTACTCACTAGGAGTTTGAAGTTCACTGACACCACAGGTTGTACTACCATAATAGCCGTCGGAGTCAGTAATTGTACCCAGCAACATCTCGAAGCCTTGATTGCAGCAACTGGCGTCAAACCCAGCGTCAATCAGGTACGTTACATCTGATAGTACGACCAGCTTGACGATGGACGTTTAGTCTTAATCTGAGCATTTATTTTTTCAGATCGAACGTCACCCTCTTCTTCCACAAACTGAGCTCCTGAAGTACTGTGCCGACAACGGCATTCACGTCACGGCTTATTCGCCACTAGGCAACAACATCTTGGGCGAGCGCAAGATCGTCGATTACCCTGAAGGTGAGCTATCGATTATCATAATCGATATAACAATGTGATTACTCATGACATCGGCGATGAATTGTATAGTCAAGGAGATCGCTGATCGTCTTTCAGCCGATCCTGCTCAAGTTTTGATTGCTTGGGCCAAACGTGGTGGTGTTTCCCTTGTTCCAAAATCGTAAGTATCTTCATTCTTGACTCCGCCTGTCGGGTACGGACTCTGAGTAGATGAAATTCTTTGGTCCGAATAGCGTCACACCATCCAGGATTGAATCGAACTTCAAGGAGATTGAAATCTCTGACGCAGATTACGAGGCCATCAGTGACATTGGCAAGGGGAAAGAAGTCCGATACAATGTACCTGTGACATATGCATCATCATGGTGAGTTTGTTGTGCTTTTGGTTGGTGAGGATTGATTTCGACTCACCATGTTGAATTCTCGTAGGTTGGTAAACGTATTCGAGACCGAAATCGAACAATCTGCTCCCTACAAGGTGAACGTTGCCTAAACCCAATGGATACCGATTTATGATGTTTAAAGCTTGAAGCTTGAAGCTCTGTCCTCCAGAAACCAAATATTTTTTGTTCGACCACAACGGCTTTCGTATCCTTCTTGTTGTTTTATAACGTGTTTTCCTTTCATTCTTCAAAGTGTATATTGGCGTCATGTGCTCCCCTACACTTTACCAGACCTCCTAGCAGTAGTACCTTGTAAAACTCTCACTATTTTGTGGGAAACCATCTTTTCTTCAGTGTGTTTTTTCAACAAACTTGTGATCAAGTCTGCTCGCAATCAAATTATAACATCGTGCCAATGCAAGTCAATTTAGTGATATTGATTTCAAAAGGTGATTCAGTCAAGAGTTTCTCGAAACCTCAACAAATATGAGATGATACATCAAGATGAAAGTGCTGGATTTGGTTGTAGCTTAAAAATATGCACGATTCAACTTGCAATCTCGATTTCCTGTTTGTTTTTTTCTACCGATTGCCAACACCTTGATATTTGATCAGGAACGGGTACCATCTATGTTGATTTGATTATCATGGCTCCCAAGTTAAGCTATGTGTGAGCGTTGAAGAGGAGAAAACCTTTCGATATTTCTGGCCATGCGAGCTAGCTTTGTAGTACAATATATTTTCTTTTGCGCTGCTTTTCAATAAACTCGAGACCAAATCTGCTCGCAATCTGATTATAACATCATCCAAGTGGTCAATTTCAGCGATATGGACTTCAACCAGAAGTTCAGCCAAAAGTTTGTCAAATCCTCATTGGCTGTATATGTAGTTGGAAATACTTGAAATGATGAATCCCAAGCTCAAGCTCAATGTCAATTTGCTAATTTTGCTTTCAATTTGCTTTCAATTGCCAAAATTGAAAAAATCTGATCAGAAACAAGTATATACCATCTGTGTTGGCGTGTTGAGGTCCGGGTGAACACTTCCTCAATAGCTCTGGCAACAAGATATATATATATATATAGTCTCAAAAAAGACCTGTTTGATTGCCTATTTTCTAATCAAACCTCTGAGAGATACTGAACATACAGTTCAATTGTTAACTTTGGTACAATTAGTTTATCACATAAATACCAACAAAGGAGTCCGAATCCATCAAGATTCAACCCTCATACCCTTTAGTACCAAGCCCAAGAACAAAGTATCTCCCCTCACAACAACTTCAAAATCTTATACAACACAAATGTTCAAATTTAAATTTCAGAAATTAATCTTCCATTTCAGAAGAAAGAGCTTCTTTAGCTTTAGCTTCAGCCGCTTCAATAATATCTTTAGGTACAGCAACATGTCTGCCTTTAGTTTCAGTACTAGAAATCCAAGAGATTTCAAGTTCAAAATCTTTATCTTTAACTTCATCATGTACCATATGAATTCTATAAACCGTAAAGAATCAAAGTTCATCAATATCTAAAATCTACAGTAAGACCTATCTTGCATTGAGATTAATAAACTTACATCCTGGCTGCTTCATCTACTGCTTCTCGTACAGTCATTTCTTCTAGTTTGAGTTTTTCAATCTCTGTACGTGCCAATGTACGACCTTTACCAATCGCGCAACCCCGGTACCCCTTTAATAATCCAATGCAATCCGGAGACCCATATCAGTATCGAGAGACATCAAAAAATGGCATCAGCTCTGAAGCCCTGAACCAGGTAAAGAGTCCTTTGAAAGAAGGATGACTTACCCAGTATACCCCACTAGGTTCCAAACAATACAAACTTGGACTTCCATCACTATCTAAACCTCCCACCAAAGCAGATACCCCAAATGGTCTCACACTACCATACAAAGTATAAGCTTGACAAAATTGGCCAAGTCGATCTGCAAGTCTCTGAACCACACCGCCAAAAACCGCATCAAAAATTCAGAACAAAAAAATCAATTAGAACATTATAGAATGGAAGATGTTCATGGGGTTTCAAAAAACTTTACCTTCATGGGAATAGATGCATTATAATTTTGTTTGTAAGCTGAAGCTTCTGATCTGGCTCGATGAGCAAGTTGTCTTCCATCAGCTAAAAGACCTGCAGTAGCCTAACACCAAAAAAATCCCATCAATCAGTTATGATAATCAACGCAAAATTTTATAAAGCTTACAATTCCAATATGTAAATCAACTGTTCCAAGTCGTTTGTTACTACCAGGTACAAGTAATTTAGATTGAACGAGTTTTTCAACTGCCAAAACAACTCCATCTTTAACTTTTAATCCGATCACCGTTCTGTTATTACGTCATACCACATTTCAAGCAGCGTTTCTGATCAGTTCTTTTCGTTAGGTAAATCAGAAAGTTCTGGAGTTAGATATCTTCTACTACTTACCCGGAGTTCTCTACTGCTTTATTCGCGTATTCAACCTTAGAAAATTCACAGATACAAGTAGTTATCAGACGCTGTATCTCTCGTTCTAGAAGCCCTTTTGAAGTTTTAGTAAAGAGTTGCTTACTTGGAAAATACGACCATCAGGACTTGAAGTACCCAAAACCAATCAACAGAACCATATAAGTCCAATTAAACCTCCAATCAATAAATGTTTCACAAAAACAATGGAAAATAGAATATAATACCTATAAGTTGAAACCGATAAATCGTATCCCGTACCAATCGAAGTCATCTTGAACTATGATATGAATATTCAAAGGTATAGTTCACTTTTCGTCGTAATTTGAAGTCTTGATCTTATGAAAGGGTTGAGAAGGATACCTGATAGTTTGACGAGTTGACAAATATGGTCGATTGGTCAATTAGGTATCAGCCCAAAGTCGATTACGACACACACTCCACTTTGGATATAAGGATATCCTTATATCCGGGTATCGTCACGTGACTCTTTCAAAAGTGGTCTGCAGGAATCAAGATCAAGATTTCTGCATCCCCAACTCACATGATCATAGTCATGATTTATATGTAGATGATTTATATACCAATGACGTGTTGAAGACCCATTGCCAAAGTATAAAGATGACAATAATTCTCAGCTTCATCACAAAGTACACCAAAACAGAATGAAGGCACTAAAATATATGTTTATTATGTGAGGCCAATCAATTCCAACATTAATGTTACAACTGTCAGAGCAGGGATGGCTATAGTTCAGAAACAAAACCTAATGAGCTATCAAATCCCACAAATCTGAGTTAACTCACCTGTCAGAGCAGGGATGGTTGTAGTTCAGAAACAAAACCTACTTATGAACTATCAAATCCCACAAATCTGAGTTAACTCATCGTTCACCAAAGAAGAATTAGAATATCTTGGATGAAGAAGGGAGACTTGATCTTTGCTGCTCCTTCAGGTTTAACAAAATTATTCTTGAGCAATACATAGGTTCAAAATAATGACAGTCAGTTATTTGATACACAGCAACATATACAAGCACTACATATGTAAACAATTACGGTACTCAAAGCTGTGTATACTTTGCTGTGTATAGTTTTTTTTTGTTTTTTTGCAGCTAGACACGGCCTGGAAAAAGTATGTCTTTTGATTGGAGCTCAAAAATATGTACTTCTGAGCCAGAAACATAGTTTTTCCTGGTTGTGTGTAGCTGTGAAAAATGGAGAATGCTCATTTCCATCTAGGATGAGCATTCTTTGAGCTCAGTCTCTCATATGATTACTCAGAACAGCTCAGAAAATTGTCTAGAATCCTGGATCAGCAGGCTCCAAGGCAGGCCGTTAAGGATTAGCTGAGCGGCTGAAATGAAGTGAGCAGATGGGCCAGCCCACCCTCAGGCTTCTTCACTCAGGAATGAAGCCTGAGGAAGGCCTAGTTCATCTGCTCAGTTCCTGTTTATCGTGTAATCAGCTGACAAGCAGGAAGGAAACATGAAGAAAAGGGAAAGAAAAGGAAAATAATGTGGAAGTAAAATCAAACACATATTGAAAGAAACAAGAGAATTTCAATGCTCACCCCAATGTGAGCATCTATTTTTGCCCCTGTGAATGGGAATGGTGATAAATCTGATCAGGTGAGAATCCAATAAATGAGCATGATTTTTATCCTTGTGATTTTTGATCAACTGCTTAGAGCATTACCACCAATGCTAGGAGATGTGCAAAAACGTTGAGGAGTGTGAGTTTTACCTTACGGGCTTGAGGCACTGGCTCACGTAAACTGATGTTTTCATACAAGGTTGATGCATAATTCATTTTTGGTGGGCTACATCTGCCCACCAAAAATAAAATATGCAAGACCAATTTTAATGTACATAGCAACAGTTTTGACTTGATATTTGACCAATTGAGCATTCATGAAGTCCTCCTGATGTCACCATTCCTGATTAGACTCAACATTGATGCCACTTGTCTGGGGTTTAAAATGATTGGGCACACAGTAATGCAAGAGTCATGCCATGGGTGGTGGCCGCAGACTTTGTCTCCCAGAGGTAACAAGTGACAAGCTGAGAGACCCTCCCCAATTGAGGGTGTCTTACCTTTCACTCTCTTACCAGGATTTGGTTGATTATACAGGCAGCTGAAATTCCTCATAATATTTAAGGTTTCCATATCTCACAGGCATCATGAAATTAATCAGGGTGCTTGGTTTCTACACAAAAATGTTGCAAGTGCAGGCTTTTTGATTTTTGTACACTTTGTGGATGTGTACAGCACATGGAATATGTATCAAATTTGTTATTCACAAGATTTTTTGTATATAGGTATTCAACTCTCACATGGATCAACACAGTCTATAAGCTTATTAAGTCACACTCTAGAAAATCACAGCCTATGAGGTCCCCAGAGAGCTCCTGCCATGGATCCCAAAATTCACAAAGCCCCATGCTCCTTGCTGAGCCCTGTTGAGGGGAGAGTGAGGAACTGTATCAAGTAAATTGGTGCTCAAAGTCCTCACACTTTAAAGATTTTTACATCATGTAGCTTAATAGAAGCTTGCCATGGTACCAGCCTACACCACTCTAAGGTGCCCTACATCAGCATGACCAACACTTCTGGGGGTGCAGACCCTCACTCTGTACGGGTTATAGGAGCTTGGGATGGGTAAATACGTCTGCCCTGTATTGGGAGCCTGAGTTTTGCAGTATGGTGCCAGCTTCTCAGGCAGATCAAATAGTCCAGGGGATGTCTGGAAGCAGGATTGCTCTGGCTTTTGGCTATGGACTTGGGACAGCCACTAACCATACGTTGCTGTACAGGTAGCATGATTCAATTCTTGTGCTGTTGAAAATTTGAACATTGGGGGCAGGTGTGACAGGCATTCTGCCCAGTCTTTGTTGGCAATTTGTGCAGTTCAACCAGCTTTATTCTATTGTCAGTACAAATGTAGAAGGTACTTTACAAGTTCCCCTGCAAAAGTCCCAACTCTGATGATTGGTTGATGTAAGAGCATTGCCACCAATGGTAGGTAAAACAGCCTCAATGGGGGAGACTCTCTCAGCATATCAGTTGTTACCTGTGGGAGAGAAAGCTTGCGGCTTCCACCCATGGCATTCATCTTGCATTCCTGTTCACCCAATTGGTTTAAACCTTGGAAAAGTGGCATCAATGTTGAGTCTAATAGGGAACAACAATGTGAGCAGGACTTCATCAATGCTCTATTGGTTGAATACTGAGTGAAACTGTTGCTATTTACATTGAAATTGTTGCTTATTTCATTTTTGGTTGGCTGCATGAAAAATGAATTGTTCATCCTGCATTTGTGAAAATGTCAAGTTACACAACTCAGTGCCTTGTGTCCATAAGGTAAAACATCAAATTATTGATACTTTCACATCTACCTAGCATTGGTGGAAATACTCTAAGCCCTTGCATTCTTGGCCTGTTACAACAGGGTGTGTTACATACTTCTTTGAGTTTTGCAGGTGATTTGAAACCATTATGGTGAATGAAAGGTTCAATAGACTCACAATGTCAATGCCACTCATGTAACCTCAAATAACTTTTGATCTGAAGAAGTATTGTTTTGGGTTTGTTTCTGGCTATCCAACCTCTGATGATAAAGCCATATGAATTCTGAGTTGACCACTGAGTCACACCAAGATTAGGGTGGTCTTGTTTAGTCTCCAGGTTACAGTTCCTTCCAAGTTCTTCACACACCAATAGAGAGTAGCTTTCTCATCAACAGATATTCATTTGAGCAGGTGAAACATTTCAAAAATGGTTTACCTGGGGTACAGTGTTTGTCTAAGCTATTTTTGTAATTGGTCCATATTGAGTTGCTTCAACACACATTTACCTCTTTAGCCAAATTAATACTACATTTCCATTGGAAATGATACTAACATTGATCTTGAGACAGAAAAAACATCATTTCACGACACTGCACCCTCCGGAAAAACTTTCAGTTCAATCCCTTGAGTGTTGCAAAAAGTCTGTAATGGAACTAGTGCAGAAGTCACACTTATATCAAATGGAAGGTAGTACTGAAGTACAGGAATGTCTATTACTTTGAGTTGGGGAAATTGAGTAGTCGTAATGAAGGCTGAAAAGTCTGCTAGTTGATCTAAAATGTCTACTCCGTATGATTGATGAAATGTGAAATGTTGCAACTTTTTGCACTCTGCAAAGCAACGGAAATAGTGACATTCACAATGAGGCCATATGGTCAAATGTGTCAAATCTGGGAGGCAAACTTGGCACTGATCTGGGTCGAATTCCTCGTCGTCCCATGGTAAGACTTGAAGATTTACATCAAATCTGAGCTCTAGATGCGTCAGATGAGGCGCCCACGAATTGATGAGATGAGGTACTTCAAATAACAAGAGATGGTCGCAGCCGATGAGCTTGAGATCGACCAATTGAGGGGGTCCTGCAGTACAGGTCCAAGAGCCGTCCATGGTCCAAAGCTCCCTAAGCACAAGTTGTTTGAGGTTTTTCATTTTAGAAAGACAGATGTTGAGCTCGTCAACCATTGCATCATGTTTATATGAAACTTCCGCGAGCTCGAGTGATTCAAGAATAGTAAGATGAGAAATGGGTTCAATAAGATAATCTGCGAATATTGATGAGTAGCGAGATCCTTGCATCTTGAGATGTTGCAGATGCTTGAGATCAGAAAATAATAAGGTCAGGTTGCGACTCAAGTTGAGCACTTCATGCGCGGGAGGAGGGTTGTAACCTCTATCAGGAAACGTGAGATTCAGTGTGGTAAGATTTTCACAGTAAGAAAGAACTTTGAAGACGTTTTCCGGACCAAGACCCCATACTGCGCGGAACGTAGCCATCTTTTCTGGTTGACAAGGCCGAGTTGGATAAGTGCGAATTGCTAGATTATCAGAGTGGATAGCATCAACTTCCCAATAATCCTTATCTTCTTCAATGAACTTGATCTTGTTTTCATCAAAAGATCGGAGGGAATATCGATGTCGAGTTTTATCTCGGGTAGCTCGTTTGATGGAAGGTGCGTTTTGAGGTTTATGAAACCATTCCTCTCGTAACTCCACGTTTAGTACTTCAACATGACATCCTTGTCTTGGTAAGACTTCCTTCTCCCAAAAGGACATCGGACTAGATATTTCAGAAGGAAATTGGAGAGACTAGACCACCGGATTAGAGAAAGGCAGAGTCGGTAAGGTTAGATAGCGTGACGTAATAGTGATCGGTCTCAGCCACTTCATTAGTAAAGACCTTGCTGACCTTCCATATGATAGGTCGACAGATAGAATATATTCGACGATTGACAACAGAGAAGGATTGAAAATTGGTCATAATCGGCGATTCAGGATTATGTTGATAAATCCATAAATTGGTCCTCTGGCCTGATACGAAATGTTTTCCTCGCTTCGCCTTCTTGAACTGATTCTCTGGAAGTTCATTCCGGTCATTGAGGAGGTATCCTACTACTTCAAGAATGAGTTCGTGTGGTAGGCGACCGAGTAGATCTTCATGAATCTGAGGTATTGTTTCGGTTGGATGCAGATGATTTTTTGATTGTCTTGGTTTCTTCATTGATCGATTAGGTTGAAGTGATGTCGCTGCTGAGTTTGCGTATGTGAGGCAAAGAGGCAATGAATGTTTCAGTCTTGCATTCGAAAGTTGAGATGTCTCAAGTCAGACTCAAGATGTTGGGGCGCGGTTTTGTGCTCACGGCGCGCCGGCGCGCCAAATCAGGCCCTCCGACATTTGCGCCATGGCTGGTGGCGCGCCAGTTTTCTTGGAAAGATATAACAAAAATATGAAAAAGTTGCTTTTTTCTTTGGTAATTTCACGTAATTTCAAGGGTGAAGTATGGTCTACAAATAACATTGAACTTTTAAGCATGTACACCAGCATCATCACTTGTGTGAGAAGTGTCTACATGGGCTTGCACCTACATATACCATGCCTCCATGTCATATCATTTCACAACAATCCCATCCATTTGTGACTTTGCTGAATCAAGAAAACATGTAGGTGTTTACAGGAAGACATACTAAAGCAAACTATTACTTTCACCTTCCCCAAAAGGGGCTGAGATTCAATCCATCAAAAAAAGTTGAATCCTTTTGATTTTTGAAAAAATAAATAATAAAAAATCAACTGATCATTTGACTGAGGTTTTCACTTTGATTCCATTGACTTGATGAACGATAAGATCATAAAAACAACAAGTATCCTGATTATAAAGATGCTCAATTAAGCATCTGATAAGAATCCCACAAGATGTTATATATTGGAAAATTGGCTTCAATAGGAAATACAGACAAATAGATTTTCCTAATTCTGAAAAGACATTATGCCCTACTAGTACCAAGAGTGCAGACAGAGTGTAAAGGTGATATTCATTGATGATGGAGTGGAAGAGTACTTTGAACTTTTTACCAGAATCTTTCCACATCAGAAAAAAGGTGCGAGGAATACTTCAATTTGAAGAGAACAGATGAACACAAGTTTTATTACATGGAAATCTACACCACTCCAGTCATCACTAAGATATTATCTGGACTAAGAACCTACAGAGGAGCCTTTGGTCTAGGTAGTCAGGGCCACAATCAATTGACTTTTTCAGGTACCAAAAGAGAGCAGTTTTCGATTCACAGTGCTGGTTTGATAGGCTTGGGATATTCAAGAAAGGAGGATAAAGATAAGAATCTACTTCAATAGGTTGATATTGTTCAAAAGTTCACATTGACCCACTACAGGATCATCCACGTCTTCAGCTACCAAAAGTAGAACATTCATCTTAATGCGAAGCCTCATACATAGTTAATCTTAAGAAGAAAAGTACGGTATTTCAGGTGGAAGCTCGTTGGGTACGTCTTCCCAAATAAAATTCAACTCGATTTTTTGATTCTTGCAGAACTCATCCATTGAATCTCTGATCCTATGTTCATTCAGATCGAGTGGAAAGTTGTCACGATCTATAAGCAAGGTGACCATCTCGAGCCTAGGAAGTGTTTTAAGGGAGAGAAAATCTAAGATAGCTTGAAGATTATTTTTCAGTTCATGATCATTGAAGAATTGATAAAAGGTGATTTGGCGAAGATCTTTACAATCGTTGAAGCAATTGACAAATTGACATTCGGAATGAGGCCAAATGGTCAAATAATTTAAATCCGGTAGCAGAAATTGATTGTCGTCCGTGTTGAAGTTCGACAGCTCAGGTTCAGAAGATTCGATGAATTTGATTTCCAATTGATTTAAGCGAGGCGCCCAAGCACTGATGAACCCCGGCGTGTCTGCCACACGGAGATTCTTACACTCAAGAATTTTAAGATACTTTAATTGAGGTGGGCCTTGATGGCAGCCCCAAGAACTTTCTATGACATCAACGTTGTTCAGCGAAAGTTCTTTGAGGTGTTCGAATTTAGAAAGACATACCCCAAGCTTGTCAACCTGTTCCCGGTCTTCGTGAGAAATATATGCAAGCTCGAGGGTTTCAAGGAGTGAAAGATGTGCAATGGGTTCAACAAAGCACTCTGCGAGTATGAATGATTGCGGAGGTCCTCGGATGACGAGTGATTTAAGACGACCGAGTTCAGAAAACAATGAGTCAAGATTGCAAGCCAGGTTCCGCATGCCTTCTACTTTAGTAAAGGGGGCCCGGGCCCAGAAATAATGGTCCGGACAAGCCAGCCAGAGGGAGGTGAGATTATCACAGTAAGAAAGCACTTTGACCAGATTCTCGCGACCGAGACCATATGATTGGTTGAACAGGGGGTCCTCTGTAGTGCCAGGTATGCCTCGGTGAACCACATTCAAGTTGTCAAGATGAATTCCATCAACTTCCCAATAATCCTTTTCCTCTTGAATGAACTTAATTTTATTGACACCAGATGACCGCAGTGAGTAGCGATTTTTAGTTTTGGCTCTGGCGGCTTTTTTGATAGAAAGTGGGTGGACGGGTTTATGCAGCCAATCGTATCTTAAAGCCACATCTATCCAATTAACCTGATGTCCGTGTTTCGGTAGAATTTCTTGAATCCAGAACGACATCGGACAAGATAATCCAGATGGAAATTGAAGGAACTAGCGCAACGTATCAGAGAAGGGTACATAGCAGCCGGCAAAGCCAGGCGGTATAATCAGCATTAGAAGATAGTGATCGGACCCATTCGCTTCAATAAGCCAACGCTAACTGACCTCCCATATCATAGGCTGACACACTGCATAAATCCTGCGATTGACGAGGGAAAAAGATTGAATATCTGACATGATCGGACATTCAGGATTATGCTGATAGAGCCATAGTCTCGTCTTCTCTCCCGATTCCAGATTGATTCCTTGTTTTATCTTCTTGCTGAAATTCTCTTCAAATTTGCGAGAGTCATCATCAAGGTATTCTATGATTTTAAGAAGGAGCTCGTTTGGTAGGCGACAGAGTAAGTCCTCATGAGTCTCGGATACTGTGGCAGATACTGCTTCGGTTCGCGGGGCTCGCTTCTTTCCTTTTCTCAGGTTCTTCATTTTGACCGATTGTTGGGGTTCAAGGTATGCTCAGTAGATAATCGTAGTCAATGGCGAGTGTGAATGGATGTGTGAATCAGACGGAGAACTTGAAGTGATGAAAGGTTCAAGTCTCAAATATCGAAGTGATGAGCTCAATGGTTTGTTTTCGATATTCTAAAGTCGATCAGCATGCGCAAAATGTGGTTCTTGTCGACTTGAAGCGGACCGGGCGCTGATCGCAAAATTATGGGAGGCCATATCACAGTACAAGTTGTTTCCGTCTTAATCAAAATCCTACGAAATCTCATCCGAGAGAACCACCTCTCATGGATGAACCGTGACACATGACCTCTGGTAACCAAACCGGCAAGCGGTTGTATGGTGTTTCCACTCACTGCATCAACCCAAGTGGTGCAAAATCAAACCTGTGGATTCCAGAAAGCAGAACATATTTTGGGTTATGTTGTTGTACTACATATTGCAAGCTCAAGCCAAGGTGAAACCAATAGGATTTCTTCATTTCTTCACCTGCTTCGCCAATGATGCAAAATGTGATCACTCACATAGCTCTTCCCAACTCTTCCATTCCTGCTGACACTGACCTATCATGTGTTTTGAGCTGTTTTGATAAGTACACCGGGGTCTTCCTAGTGTCCATAGGCTGAGGGCCACACATCATCTGGAAAACTAACCATACCTCACAATATTTCCTCCTCCATGACCCAGGTGAAAATATGGCATCTCCTGCATTACATTCAATGAGACTGATGGTTTAATCAAAAATCAATTCGAGTAGAAAACCTAACCATGGCTGTGTTCATCCTCAACAATGATTCCTGATGAGGTTGTGCAGCAGATCGAGTGCCAGAGGATGAAGATAATATAGCTAATCTTTTGAGCACACCTGCATCATTTTACATGTGAAGATCACCTATGTACATGGGCTTTCATCTGTCCCATACATCGCCACGATGTCAAATCATTCCAAAAGAAGTGCAACCATCAGTAACTGCTAAATGAAGAATGTGTGCAGGTATTTACAGGAAGGTAACTGGGATCAACTTCCCAAAAAGAAGCTACTGTCAGCATGGACTTCATTGAAAACCTCCATCATTCTGATATGTCAAATTTATCCAACTGATTATTTTATTGGAATTTCCATCTGGAAACCAGTGAATTGATGTAGTATTTAATGATAAGAACGGCAAATATCCTGATTAGGAATGATGACAAACTGATGGCAATCCAATTTAATTTGATACTCAAACATATGAACATACTTTGAAATCTTTTTTCTGAATGGCTGATGAGAGTGAAGTGTATTTTTGAATTCCTATATAGCATAATCCACTTGTTGTCAAAATTGACTTTGATATGAATACAGACAGCTAGAACTTATGGATGCTGAGCAGATCTTCAGCCCTACCAAAAGCCAAGTCAGAGTGCACAAATCATACTCATTGAATTTGAGGACACTGTTAAATAATGCTTACTTCTACCTTTTACCAGAATCTTTCCGCACCCCAAAGGTGTTGAAAGGAATACTTGGAGAAGACAGTTGAACACACATATTAACCTTATATGGAGATCTTGATGCCTTTAGTCCTCCCTAATTAGCTCTTATCTGGACTGAGAACCTTTAGGAATACTTAGTTTACGTTGTCAGAGCCACCATTAATTTACACTTTTTACAAACCAAAGGATTGCAGCACTTCATTGACAAAAACGATTTTAATAAGCTTGTGATATCCAAGAAAGGTTCACAAAGAGTACATGGTACTTTGATAAGTTGATATTCTTAAAACTTCAAATGGATACCAAACAATTTTGTCCACCTCTTTAACCGCCAAAAGCGATACCTTCATCTTGATTCAAAATCCGCATAGTATTTAATGTTAAGGTTTGAAGCGTATTGTTTCATCAGGAAGTTCGTTAGGTACATCTTCCTCAGAGTAATTGAATTTAATCCCTTGATCCTTGCAGAGATCTTCTATTGAGACTAGGACCTCATCCACGTCCATTTGGATTGGGAAGTTTTCGTAATCCATAAGCAAATTCAAAGCCTCAAGCATAGGGAATGGTTCGCCGGAGAGAAAGTCTAAAATACCTGCAAGATCATCTATCAATTCATAGTAGTTGAAGGGTAGGTAGAATGTGATATCACAGTGCCCGTTGAAGGAGTCCTCGACGTCAAGGTCACAGTGCTAGCTGATGTTTCGCTCGCAATTGAACTGTTTTCGAACAATATCCATGTTCAGCGTCTACTGAGGACAACGGCTTATGCAGTCAAAACTTAGGGCACGTTTGGTAGCGCTTTTTGTAGGGAGTTTATTGGAATAAACTCCCTTGAAATTTGGAAAAAACGCTGTTCAAAAAAAGTCGTTTGGCAGCGATTACGGTACCCAAAAGAAACTCCTTCCCCGTCCTCAAAGGAGTTTAAAAGGTACGTTTTGAAAACCGCAAAAAGGGAGTTTTTCCACTCGTAAAACTCCTTTTCGAACTTGGTCAAATTTCATTTCGACACTCTTCAACCCACCTCGACGTCAACAAAATCATACTCTGGCTCCTCGACGTCAACCACCTCTCAACGGTTTTCATCACTCTTCTCCCACTTCCAACATCCACCTTCTTCCTTTTTGTTTGTTGTTCGATCTCGACTTTCGACCCTCCTTGTTCATATCATGCCTCAAGCCAAGAAAGATCCGAACGCTCCAAAAGTCGCGAGAGCAGTCTGGACCGATTCCAAGATTCGTTTTATACTCAACGAGTTTTTAACTGAAAAAGAGGATGGTAACATGATTGGTGGCAACTGGAAACCCGTGGCTTACACCAATGTTCACGAGAGATACACTCTTGCGTATCCAGAAGACAAGGTGAATAGAGAACAAATCAAAAATTTATACACCACAGTCAGTTGTTTGTCTTGATATCAAATTCAAAATCGATTCATCATTTTAATCAAAGTTCTTTTATTTTTTCTTCGGCTATCGATCTAGAGCAAGAGTTCTTATACTGGAATGAAAAAAGTCAAAATGACCTCTGGAGTTGGATGGGTTGGTGGCAAGATCGACATGCCAAATGAATGGTGGGAGAACGTAGGCAAGGTCAGTTGTTTTGCCTGCTATTCTTCTTGAGATTGTCTCGGCTGACCGTGTTTTGATTTTCTTAGAAAGACAAGGACGCGATGAAGCTTCGAAACAATTCATTCGACTACTACGAAGAAATGGATGCAATGCTTCATGGATCTAAACCGGCTGGGGCTTTACGTACTGGCACAAGTTCTGGTACACGAGTTGAGGCAGAGAATAACAAGGAAGAGGAAATTGAAATTATAGATCATGATAATTTAGAAGAAAGCAAAGAAGAAAGCAGATATGAGGAAGTAGATGCACAAGGATTGACCCAAGCCGAAAGAGACCTCGATGATCTTCCAGATTCAGATGAAGAAGTTTCAACTGAAAAAGGCAAAGGTAAAGCAATTGTATCAGGTTGCTATATTTTTGATTTTTCGATATTTTCTACTTTTCAATCGATATACAAGTCTAACTGACTATACCATTGTTATTGATGGAACAGACTCACAAAACCTCGATCTTCCAACTCCAAAGAACCCTACCACCGTCTCTACTATCAGAAAAGAAGGTACCAAGCCTTCGACTTCAAAATCTACCCCTGTTTCGAACATCAAGAAGAAAATGCCGGCTTGCAAGGTCAAACCAGTCACACGGCAACGTGATGCTCGCTC